AAAGAGTGTACAGAAAAAAACCAGCCACTCTAGAGAAACAGTAACGGGGTGTCTAATGGCATCACAAACACAAACAAAAACAAGTGCTGGGTTGTCAGAGGCCCTGGCTTCACATGTGGACAGGTCACGACTCCACAGCTGAACAGGGCTGTAGAAATGTAAATGGACACAGTAATCGGTGGAAAAATGTATCTATATTCTGAGAAGTTTGACATAATAAATTCTTCTTACTTTGCATGTACTGAGGATGTTCCTTCAGTTCTAACGTTATCACTACCAAAAAGCCACCAAAACCTCCAAAAGCTATGCATAGTTCAGTCCCTAGCCACTATCACATACATACATCAGTGACTATGGAGTCAATTAAAACAACTAAATACATTAACAGTATATGATTTACTCTCTAACAGCTAATACAGTTCCTTTTGGAAAATAACTCATTCTCATTAGTTCAATTACATTTACTAGTAAATCTAAGTAGCTAATGCTGAGGTACCACTTGCAGGCTAGTTTGCTTTCCAAGAGAAAGTTCAATACAATGCTCAATGTATGGACTTTTTCTCATAATATTCTCAGATAGCCCAGGTATGCCCCTCTCAATCTGGCATTAACAAATCTGTAATATCTGTTTTAGAAAGCATCTGAGGCAAAGAGACTAGAATTTGTATTGGGTAATGGTAAACCTTGCTTCCTTTGCATACCAAAAGCACAAGGGCTAGCATATCACATCTCATTTTAGTTCCTGAACCAAGGCCTTTAAATCAGAGCAGGCTCTCTCTATCGGCAGTGAAGCAATACCAGACCCTAACTGCCCTCTAGTGTGCTTAAGAGCCTATTTCTCTCCACTGACCACGGGCATAGTTTAGGCAATGTTCCTAGCACAGACATCTGAAATAAGGCAGAATGAATTTAGGCCAGAATCAGACAGCAGTACTGTGACAGAAATGGGCAATGAAACCTGATTACCTGAGACATAGTCCACAATCACCTCTTGAAACAGTTTTGACAAAAAACTTAAAGAGTTTAAACAGGAAAGAAACCCAACAAACCCAAACCTCAACACTCAGAAAGTTCTAGTTACCTACCTTATATTTTTGCGATTTCCCCAGTACATTTGCCAACGAAAACATAAGGGAATGATCATTAGGTATTAACTCCAGGGCCTCTCTTCCAACTGCTTCTGCTTGAGCTAGATTGCCTGGGAGCCCGTGTAGTGGAAAAAGAGAAAGCATCTTTTAACACAGCCTTATTAGTTAGTTTTCTTGCTGCAAGCATGCATATTGTATGAACAGCTAATTACATGCATTTTTAAAGAAAGTAAGGTATCAAACACACACATAAATGTAAAGCCCTGCAGAATAAGAAAATAGAAAACCTCTATTTTGTTTTCAACAGATAACACTTTCACAAGAACAACAAAGCACAGATTCAAATGTTCTTAAGTTTGGTCTATAATACAAACATGCTTGCACAATGATGGCATTTCAAACAAGCATCAGAATGTCAGTTTATGGGCTGGATTTTAAGCGATGCTCTAAACCCATTGAGTCAGATGGTATTCTTCTATTTATAGTGTGTCTTGGTAGCCAAGTAAAAGGCAGAACTCCTTTTAGATAAACACAGATAAAGCTTTAAAGTTTTGCAAGGCACTGAATGACTCATTAAAACATTCAGAAGGGCTTATACCTGTATTATCAAGCAATATAATCATATTGTTCCAAGCCAAACTGTGCTCTGGTTTCAGAACTGTAGCATTCCTCCATGCATTCAATGCATCTATATGGCGATTCAGATCTGCATACTAAAAAGAAAAAAAAGCACAGTAATTTCACCCTGATTTGTTTTACTTCTTTATCACGCACTAAAGACACTAAGGAGTTTTTAATGTCTCATTCCATTCTAGTAGAAAGTGTTTTTGTAGAAAAAAATTGTAAGTGTAAAAAGAATACTAGGATGGTATGGAAGACAGACCGCTACATACTAATGTTACACTTTTACACTGCTGTTCTCTGGGAACCAGGCTTGTTTTCAAATATGCATGTACTGATAGGATGGGGAGAAAAACCAGCATGCAATTTAGAAATCTACACAGGAGGATAAGTAAATATTTAATAGAAATATTTCCAGTAATCTAACCAGATTTTTTTTTGACTGCAAAAAACCAGTCTAATATTGAGACATTATTAATAGTATCTCTTGAACAAAATAACTCAATCTCTATTTTTGTTAATATATCTTTATTTTAAAAAGTAGGACTACCGAAGGTAGTATGGAAGGAAGTATACTTGGAAAGCAATAGGAAAACTACTGAAAGTATGAAATCAACCTGAACTACACATCAAGCAAACTGGAATAACTATCAGCATTTAAAATACAGCAGAATTACAGATACACACGCGCGCGCGCGCGCACACACACACACACACACACACTACTGTGTTAACCATCATTTATTCAAAAGCACTTACCAACCGCCCTAGATTGTAGTAACAATCTGGGTATTTTTTCCTGTGTTTAATTGCTGTCCAGTAGCTTTGCTCTGCCTCTTCAAACCTTCTTAAACTATTCTGTACTATTCCTAGATTCATCCATGCAGCAGCAAAATCAGGTCTGGGCAAATTGGGGAGTGGGGGAAGGGAAAAAAAGAGAGCACAACTGAGCATCTGAGCATTTGGAACACAAGGTCCTATTGTTATCGTTTCTGCTCAGTTGGTGCAAAACACTGCTTAGTATTATTCTAAACATACTGTATTTGTACAGCTAAGGACAGCAACTCCTCTGCTTCTTGGAGCTCATTTCTTTCTTTCAGAATATTTCCAAGGTTGTTCATGGCATGTACGTATTTAGGATTCAACCTAAAATTTAAAATTTAGAGATGATTACTATGTATGGGACATGTATTACTCTATGCAAATTGTTAGCTCTGCAATGCTGCAGATAATGAAAATGAATACCTAAGCATTTTCTTCATATTAAATGTTAAAGCGGTTTTAGGATAGTTTATTAAAGCAGTAAAATTCCTAATACCTTACAGCTTCTCTGTAGTATTTGATAGCAGCACTTTGATTTCCTTTGTCAGCCAGGTTTTTGCCAACATTGTAGTGCACCTGAAAGCACAGATGAGCATTTTACCAGATGCTGTACAGTCAGATATTTTGTGGGGCCAAGTTGTTAAAAATTCTTACTGCAAATAAATAGAGTCAGCACTTGCATCATTCACTGCTGGCTTTTGTTGTAGGTGAATACTTAAGATTGGACAATACATACAATGAAGATAGCAAGAGAAAATCTGAGGAATAAATTAATAAACCAGCTTACCTATTCCAGCTATTTAAGAAAGATTATTCACTTCCTAACATTATAAATAAGGTTACCACACTTTCCACAAGAGTCTTTATATGGAGACCTCCTGCTCCTCATTTTCATTTAATTATCAGATGAGTAAGGAAAGTCTGACTCAATCAAATCCACCATAGCAGAAGAAACACTACAGCAAAGTAAGCGTTGATTAAAGTTTGCTGTCGCTATAGCAGAAACCAGAAGAAACTCAACATTAACAGAAAAACTAAGAAGCTCCATACTTCAAAAACAAACACAAAATAATTAACAAACACACACACACTATTATTGTCTTGGGGTAAAAATGCATCAAACAGCATTTCTGAAATAAAAATAATGTGTGTGGCAACATGTTGGAGACTTTGCCTGTTAAAAAGTGGAGAATGAAGGATCTGGAGCTTTGAGATACAGCTACACAGAAGAAGATGCATCATCTGAACTTATGACAAGGACTACACAGGAAAATTTCAGGACAAATCTGAGCTGGAAGATATCTCAGGTTCTACTTTAAGATAGATCTCAGAAGACTACATTACCTGGTGAAAGGAAGACTCAAGTTTAGAAATAAGATAAAAGTACTGTGAATACTGAGTAATGAAAACAGATTTCTCAGCAACTAGAACAAAACTCATTATTTAAATTACCTTACTCTTTGGAATCAAATTATATACACTTAATCTAAAACAAACACGCATTGTAATTTCTTCCATACTTTGCAAATCTAATTTTTTTATTTTTATTTTTAAAAAAAATACTGTGCAGATTGCCTCAGATTGAAGTACAAAAAGATAGGTTCATAATGGATTTAGATAACTCTAATTCACCTTCTACATTTAAAAAAGGACTTTAATCTCATATGTCCATCAAAAGATAAATCCTCATGGTATTTGGCACAATACTTGGGACCTATTGATCCAGGACACACAATTATGTTTGAATGCAATTGTTATGGTATTCATCTCTATATAACTTCTGACTATGCAGTAAGATACCATCAACAAATAAAGTTGAGAACATTTTCCATGCTTTCTAGAATGAGAGAAAAAGTAGTTTCACTGGTTTTTAGAGACAACAAAGATGCTATAAAGCTTATTAAGCATACAGAGAAGCAGCTCCTCAGGCTGTATGACATAAAATAGCCCACCAATTCAGCATCCCATAAAAGCAGTTCAAGCACAGCTTCCAAGAAAAAAAAAAAAAGATCCAGGCACTGGTCTTGTACACTCATAAAAATATGGCAAGGTCCATGCCAAATAAGCAACGGACTGCTACATTCATATCAAGACATAGCAATTCATGAGTTGATGGTGTCAGAAAAACCCAAAACAGAGTAGCATTGTTTTCCCAGGAGTCATTGAAGTAAAATGATACACCCTGAAAGATTTTTCTTAGGACTGAATACTATTTGTATATCTCTTCCAGAAATTTCTCAGCACACTACAATAACATTCTTACCAAACTACATTGCTCTTACGCTTAAGTTTACAGACTTAAAAATTATTCAGAGCAGGTCAGGTTACTAAACTTTGCCGTGTTTCCAGATAACAGATAAATCATGGCAAAACAGAAAACATAAAAGATTTCATTCAGTAATGTATATTAGCCCTTAAAATACCTGACTTCACATTTCAGTATCGTAAGAATCACAGAATGGTTTGGGTCGGAAGGGACCTTAAAGCTCATCCAGTCCAACTCCCTGCCATGGGCAGGGACACCTCCCACCAGACCGGGTTGCTCAAATTCCCATCCAACCTGGCCTTGAACACTTCCAGGGAGGGGGCATTGACAACTTCCCTGAGCAACCTGTGCCAGTGTCTCACCACACTCACAACACAAAAAAGGTCTTACTAATATCTCATCTAAATCTATCCTCTTTCAGTTTAAAACTGTTACCCCTCATCCTATCACTACACACCTTGATAAAGAGTCCCTCCCCATATTTCTTGTAGGCCCCCTTCAGATACTGTAAGGCTGCTATTAGGTCTTCCAGAGCCTTCTCCAGGGGACAGAGAATATGAGAAAAAAAACTTTGTATACACCAACCACTCAGTCTTTCACATGTCACCTGTCTTATGTTCGGAAACAGTCAGCATTTCACTGTCCAATTCTATTTTTCTCAGTTTTTAAAAACATAGAACTTATTAATATCCATTTCTACCTCAAAAGCAGCAGCAGAAAAAATATTTTTCTCATGTAAACAGAATTGTGCAGACTGCAGAAGCCTGAGAGGTATCAGTTCTCTCAAGTCAAAACAATATTTCTATACAGTACTCCTGAAAATGTAGACTTCCTCATTGTATGTTGGTTTCCCAGTTTCTCCTTAAGTGAATCTGTAGCCCTAAATTCTTCTTAATATGGTGGTGACAAAGAAAGGAAGGGGAAGAAATCTAACACACACTAAAAGAACCCCTCAGCCTACTACAAATACTCAAAGGCAAATGCAGCTTTACCGTAAATTATAATATGCAGTAACATCCTGCTCTTAAGAGCAGAGTCAGCAAAGGTTTTCCAGGCATAAACAGACATTTGAGAGGTGCAGATGACTTTTCCCATACAGCTCTGTCTCTCACTTTGCTGGGCATGACACAGAGATGCCAAGATGAGCCTGTAGCTCTGCTTCCACAAACCAGGTTGACAGTAACTCTGCCCTCTGTTAAGCACAAGGCTGTAACTCTCCTTGACTTCTCCTGTGACTCCTACCTGCACAACATGGGCACATAAATGCTTTCTAAATACCAATCGTTGGGAAGAATCTAGCCTCTAAAAATAAGGGACTAGTGTGATGTTATAAGTTTCATCTCTAGAGTTGCAGTGGTTCTGCCTTTAACAGATACTGCACATGCCAACCTGGGAGAGGATATTTTCCTTTCCTGATTAAACATTTAGGAGCAGACAGAGCATTGGGTTATTAAATGATTAAAGATAGATATTAACTGGAAATGACATATTACATGATGTCTGTATGCTCCTTTATCAATCTTAAACAGGTAATTACTTTACAGTAATACCTCTAAAAGGAGCATTTCGTAGGGATGCATCACAACACAATATTCTCAGAAATCAGAACAATTAGGTAAAAATACCCTAGAATAGAACCCAGTTGATCTCAACAGGCATGTGTTGTTTAAAGCTAACATAACCATGGCACTACAGCCTAGCCAAAGAATTGGCTCTATGTGTTTGCTCGCAATACCTCAATTAGCTTAAGAAGCCAGTATAAAAAAGCAAAAGCATTGTGTATTATTGTTAGACACACATAGCCTTTGAACTGTTATTTAAATGTGCACACATATTTAAATGAGGAAGAGGAAAAAAATATATTTCCCTGTACAAAACCAAAATTACTGTCAAATGGATTTTTTGGTTTTTTATTCCTCAAAGCAGTGTAGGAAGAAATTGAAATGTAGTATCAGCTTCCAGGAGGAACACCCCCTCAGCTGGAGCACTACTATTATCAACTATTTTATTCTCTCTTCTGAGCTGCTTATAATCACCTTTTCAGCAAATATGAACATTTGCTGAGAAGGATGGAAGGAAAGCACAGATGTCAAATTTTCTACAGAACCATGCAGATGCTTCTGTTCAATGCCAGCTTCTTTCATCAAACACTCTTCTCTTTACTGCTGAAATTCTGTTTTCTAAATAGTAATAAAACAAAGCCTTTTCAATCTTCACATTTGGTTTGTGCAGCAAATGTTGTTTAAAGGTTCTTCCGCATGACTGTGCTTGTATACAAAAAAAAATGACACCTAAAGTGCCGCCTATGTGGCAAAACACTGCAGACAGTCCCTATAAATATAGCCCGCAGCACTTAAGGAAAATTCTGCAGAAGATAATCCCCTTTTAATATACAGCACAGAAAAGAATTCTCAGTATCTAAAGGAAATGCTCTCTAGATCAGCTTCATAAATCCTACAACAGCAGCAAACCTTTTTCTGTCACAAAGAGGTTTTACAAGACCTTTTTAAAAAGTATGGAAAGTAATCTCACAAACTCTTTTACATTTTCAGTACTAGCATAGCTTGTCTTTGACAAACTTGCATCTATAATAATTACAGTTTGCATAAGGCATAAAGTACAAAGTCACTACCCTTAGAATGCACTGGTTCGTAACACATTCTGTTGGGAGTATTGTAACTTCCTTGCTTATTATTGCAGAAAAGTTGCTACTGAAATGGCTTTTTTAAAATTATTTTTATTAATTTCTATCCTGTCAAGAAAAGCCAGTAGCAAGGAGTTTCTGTATAGATTACGTACAAAATATTAACAATTTGTAATAATTTCAATTCAGTTATTTAAAATCTAGGAAAAGAAAAATGGTGGCTATTTCCCATGTATTTAACAATGTAAGTGCAAATTTTATTGAGATAATCATTTAGAGGAATATGGAGAATTAAAAAACATCTCTGGATTCTTAAAAAGTGCTATGGTTTTGCTAAAAGCCAAAAAAAAAACTACCTTGGCGCTTCCAACAGTAACTTATCACATGGCAAAAAAAAGTCAGTAAGATGAGCATTTTTGAGAATAATCTTTAAATTAGAAGAATCAGCAATACAGCATATCTAGAAATAGTGAATACCAGTAGAGCAAGGGCAAAATCTCACATAACCTTATGTATCCACATCTGCTGTAGTTGTCAGGACTTCATTTGCCATCAGTGGAGAGACGCGCACAGATTTAGGGTGCAGTCCGTCTGGTGAGGATGAACCACATGCTGAAAGAGACAGCTCCTAACCTCAGTTGTAAAGGGGGCCCTGGCTGACTCGCT